CGGCGAGCGCGGCGCGGGCTCGGCCCCGAGCCGGGACCGGCGCGGCCATGGGGCGGCGCTCGGGGGCGCGCCCGCGCGTGTCCGCGGAGGGGCGGCGGTGGCGGCCCTGGTGTGTCCCTTGCCTGCCAGCGAGAGCGGAACAGCTCTGCTCTGTCTGTCACCCGAACCCGCCTGAGCTCCCTTGTGCAAGTGCTCGGCGGGGTTGGATTTTGAAAGGTGTAGCGTGATCGCTAGGAAGGAATAAAGGCTTTTATTGCACTGCTGGTCTCCCACCTCCGGTTTTCTTTCCAAAAAGTGTCTCATGAGATGCTACTCTGATGGCACAGCTTTCACTGGAATCACTTGTACGTGAATAAAACTTTGCAGTGCTTCTGCTAGTGTGAAACGCAGCATGACTGCTTGGGGAAAAACTCGGTAAGTACTTGGTTGGAAAGTCCAGCGGATTAAAGATGTCACTGGAAGAGTCATCTCCTGGGAGCAACAAATTGACCTTTTTCGTTGGGTTGATAACTCCTTCCCCTTCCTGGGCTATTTTCTGAGAGGTTTTCTGTGTAATGCACTGACATATGTAGTGAATTTTGCCTCAGCTGGGTCACTTTGTTTTGCTGGGTTTTTGAAATATTTTTTTTTCCACCCCCTATTAAATTAAGTCCCTATTTTGCCTGGGTAGTCAAAACTTCCAGGCTTGTAGTAACATTGGTAATTTACATTCAGAAGGCAGAATTAACTGTCTTAAATATGACAAAGAGTAATGGGTTCAGACTGAGAGGGGATATTTGGGTTGAATATAGAGAAGACGTTCTTCCTTGCGAGAGTGATGAGGCACTGGAACAGGCTGCCCAGAGAAGCTGTGGATGCCCCATTCCTGGAAGTGTTCAAGGGCAGGTTGGATGGGGCTCTAAGCAACCTAGTGGAAGGTGTCCGTGCCCATGGCAGGGCAGTTGGAACTAGAAGATGTTTAAGTGCCCATGTCAGGGGGGTTGGAACTAGAAGATGTTTAAGTTCCCTTCCAACCCAAACCATTTGATGATTGCATGAATCTTTGAAGTATTTCTGCATCCTGTAAAAGAACTCTCTCCACTTTGGAAGAAGCTTCCCTTTTGCAATTTCACAACATGCTATTTCTTTCTTCGACAGTGTCCCAAACACTCCTGCAATAACCTTATTGCTCCTGAGAAACACATAGCTTCTGGTTTACCACACTGACCAGCGAATGACACCACTTCATTTTGTTAATACTCTCTCTTCCTGCTCTGTCTGTACCTGACAGTGCGGATATGCCTAGCTTTTAGGGTCAGGTTCTGCTGTGAGTAATCAGAATTAAACTAATAATGGAAAAAAAGAACCCAGTACCTTACAGAAGGTACAGCTACCCATTTTTTCTCTCTGCTTTTCTGTATCTTAGGCTACTGCTGAATGTGTGTTTCAAATTGTATCATTAGTAGCTCCCACTGAGATACTAAAATAGGGGAAGCATATGTTCAATATCCAGACTCAGTAACTATGGATCGTGGAGAATAAAAAAAATTAAAAAAACAAAAACAAAAACAAAAAAAAAAACCCACAAAACCAAATCTTTGTTACTATCTAACTGTGTGTGGTGGGTTCACTCTGGCTGGATGCCTGGAGCCCACCAAAGTCAGGGTCAGCTGAGGAGGGGAGAGAACATAGGTTGAAAGGCACATGTATTGAGATACAAGGGCAGGGGGAAGTTACTCTCAATTACTGTTAGGGGCAAAGCTGTCTCCATTTGAGGAAATTATTTTAGTTTATTACCAGTCAAATCAAAGTAAAGCCATGAGAAATAAAAGCTGAATCTTAAAACACTTTTTCCCTACATCTCCTTTCTTCCCAGGCTTAACTTAATTCCCAGTTTCTCTTCTCTCTTTCTCCTTCTCCCCACCAGCTGCACAGGGGAATGGGGGATGGGGGCTGGGGGTCTGTTCATCACACATTGTCTTTGCTGCTCCTTCCTTCTCAGGGAGAGGACTCCTCAAACTTTTTCCCTGTTCCAGTATGGGATCTCTTCCACAGGTGACAGCCCTTGATAAACATCTTCAACATGAGTGCTCCCTATGAGCTGCAGTTCTTCACAAACTGCTCCAGCGTGGGTCCCTTCCCATGGGATGCAGTCATTTAAGTACAGACGGCTCCAGTGTGGGTCTCTTACATGGTCACAAGTCCTGTCAGCAAACCTGCTCCAGTGTGGGCTCCTCTCTCCATGGGTCTGCAACGGCCAAAAGGCTGATCCAGTGCAGGTCTCCCACAGGCTACAGATTCATTTGGGATTCTTCCAGCTCCAGCTGGGGGTTCTCCATGGGCTGCAGGTGAATATTTGCTGCACCATGAACCTCCATGGGCTGCAAGGCAACCTACTGCCTCACCACAGGCTGCCCCACGGGCCACAGGGGAAATCTCTGCTCCAGTGCTGAGCACCTCCTTCTTCATCTTACTTGATGTCTTCCAAGCTGCTTCCTTCATGTATTGTCCCTCCTATCTCTCTGTTGCTGTTTGTACCCTCGCTTCTTAACTGTTATCCCAGAGGCACTACCTCCCTCAGTGATGGGCTCAGCCTTGGCCAGCAGCAGATCCGTCTTGGATCCTCCAGTCATTGGTTCTGTCAGACACAGGGGAAGCTTCTAGTGCTGTTCACAGAAGTTACCTCTGTTTTCCCCCCACTACCAAAAGGTTGTCACACAAACCCAGTAGAGTATGTAATATTTTTCATGACATATAAATGTTGCACTAGGTTTTCGAAATAAGAGACAAAAGATAAATGTCACAAAAATTCTGGATGAAAAGACCTGGGATTAAAAATATGTATTATTGAAGGTGAAGCATAAGAATAAAACCTGTTGCATCTCCACTAGCATGTCTGTGGGCTAATATGTATTGTCATGTCAGTTGCCAAAATCAAGTATTTTTTCAATATACTGGAAATACCCTTCTGCAGAAAAAGTGTTTGAATCATGTATCTGACTGAAACACTCTTCCTATTAAATTATCCTTTACCCAGCTAGCACAGATTAACATTTAGGCTTTGAAGTAATTTTGCTGTTTTCCTATCTGATGAACTAGACTGTAGATGCTGTGGTTACGTGGAACCAACAAGCTGTTTCCAGACTGTTTGGATTGCAGGGATGTCTGTAAGGGAAAAGAGTCCTTTGTAGGATGTGCTTGTTTTGTTTAGAAAATTGTGTAATGGGAGGCAAGAATGACAAGTGCCACTTCGTGTAACCATGATTGAGACATTGGAGGTGGCATGCGGGGAAGACTGAAGCTTCAATCTAACACTTTCTAAGTGATGACTGGTGTAAAATATGTATTAAGTGTCTGGATTCCTGTGTGTTTGAAATGGTTAGCTTTATATCTGTGTGAGTTCCAAATTACAATAGAAACATTGTGATATTGTGGTCAGTTTTCATGTGCTGAGATTGTTTCTTGGTCTTGCAGAATTGACCATCATACAAGGACACAGATTTTCCATGGGTCAGATTTCTTGTCAGGCTGAGTGCACAAAAGAAGGTGAAGATACAAATCCAGTATTTGTGAAAGGGAATCATAGACCCTGTTAGTATATTCCTGTGCGTCAGCAAGGACAGCAAAGCCTCCTGAGAGTGTAAGTGAATGTGTTAGGACAGAGAAGAGAAGTCAGGGAGCAGATGCTCCTTGCAGTGTGTGTTTCCCATAGCAACCTGGCAAATTTCCTGGCAGAAATTTGCGTGTGAGTTAGTCATGTTTTCGCATCACTTACTCGTGCCTGTATTTTCAAGTATCCCCACTGCTGTAGTGTGTTTTTATACTTTGTAACGGTTTTGTGTTTGTATCCCCTTTTTTTTCCCAAATGGTTTACCCCTGATTGTACCCCCTCCCTCTACCTGTATATTCCCCCCCCTTTGTTGAGATCATCCCCAAATCCCCACCCTGGCTCTCTGTCAATCACTCAGCATCCCATCCTTTCTATCTAGAACTTTCGCTCCAGGTCGTCGAGTGATTAGTCAGAGGCCAGGGGTCAACCCCCCAAGTGCTACCCCATGCGCTATCCCAAATGTCCATTCCCTAGGTTTTCACCCCTGAAGTTTCTTTATTCGTTAGCAAGTGTATCTACTTTTTGGTTCACACCTCCCTTTAAAGGTAACCTTGGCTCCTCTCCCGGGCGCTCTGAGCAGGAGGCCCCCTGGGAGCTGCTATGAGCTCCAAAAAAACTTTGGATTAACTCCTGCTAACAGTCGGCCCTTTTACCCTCTACTGATGTCTCCAGCGTCTCCTCAGCTGCAAAGGTGACTAGCCTAGCTGCCTTGGTACTCTTGGGGCACGAGACAGTGTCCCCCCGCTGTCGGCCAAGTCAGGGCTGGCCACGGTTCCTGGGGAGCTCCCGGACAGATGGAGACACCCCATGAAAGAGGAAACAGTGGAGAAAACTGGGGAGGAGCAGAGCATAGATGATGGAGGTTGGTGGCACAGCCCCAGGCTAAGCTGTACAAATGGGTGGTGAGAGCCCATGCCACCCTCCAAATGACTGAGCAGCACTTGGAGCTTTCAGTCTGTGCCAATGCCTGAAGGGACACAAGTCCTGTTGAGAGAACCTGATCTGTAAAATCTTACTTAATACTGTTGTATTCTAAGTAGATGAGCATTTTAATGATATACTTTTCTTACCAATAAATTCTACTACTACTGCTATGGTGTGTTTATCTACAGTCATGTATAGTAATGCCTGGAGACAGATGATCATCAAGAAATGTGGAAGGTAAAAAGATGTGGCCATGTCAACATGACATGGCAGTTCACACTCTGTGCATGCACAAGACATCCCATAGTCTAGTCAGCTCTAGCTGTAATTTGCATAATTACACACACCCTATTACTGTCCCTGTTAATATCCTCTCTGTCTCCATGTCCCATCCCTATTCCCCCTATCCCTTTTAGGGGTATATATTTTTTTCATGTTTTGGGGTTTGGACTCTATTTC